TCAATCAAGTTTTCACATACGAATAACACAGTTCGCTTTGATCAAAAATTCATTCTGTCAACTTGAATTTATGAAAACAATAATTAGACATTGTTGAAGTTAACTCTCTTCACCAGAATGCCTTGGACACTTAATAATTCCATGTTGCTGCATCATACAATATAATGACCTAACCACTCTTGGGGTAATCACTCCTTATTTCGTTAAAAAATTACTTCTTCCATCTTTAACGTACAAGAACAATTAATTTCATCCTACCCAAAATAATGTGTCCTGCCAGGATGCAGTAAAGACTCGAATGACACGTACCACGTCTAGTAAATCACCGAAAGAATATTTCGAAGAAAAGATACACCAACGCTCGCGGGGGTTTCATCATCCCCTTTAAATTGCTTCACGGTATAGACGGAAGAATGTAACACGGCCATACCATGTTACTATACGCCCCATTTCACGATCCGGCTTACACTCAATCCTGAACAGGCAGCGAAAACAAAAAAAAAAAAAGAAAGGTGGGGTGAAAGTGGGAAAGAGGGACGGCAAACCTCGAGAAGAAGTAATCCCACTCGCTCGTCGTATCATCCGTTTATTTTTCCTCTCTCGATTTTTACGTATATACACGTACAATGATTTCAGTATCGTCACAGTGTAGCATCGTCTTACACGCTACCTAATACCTTCGTAGCTGCGTGCACGTTCAACGGAACAAACGCAAACGAGTCGAACGAGAAGTGTCGTTGAACGCCCACGCGAAAGCGAAGGGGTGTTACAATCCGCAGTCAGATCTCATCCGCCATTAAAATGTCTTGAGAACATTCAGAGGTACACGCTTCGCGAATCTATTTTAACGCAAACGCCTTCTACAGCACTAAAACGGGAGATTGGCGTTCCTCCTCGATTAGAACCCACCAGAGGCGGGTATATTCATTTTCTCTAACCGATTACAGTCGAGATCCTCAATCTCGGAACCAGTTAACCTCTCTGCCCGTCGAAAGTTATTATATACAGTGAGAAACGGGCTCTTACTTTGAAGTTCTCCGCGAGGAACGAGGCTGGATCTTCTTAATTCGAGGAAAATCCACAGAAGCAGCGATTTACTCAGCCGCAACTCGAGGACTGGAATAAAATCCTGGCTGCATGCCCGACACTCGGCGCGTTTTAACGCGATCCTCGAGGATCCACGTGACTTCCCGTTTCGATAAAAGTGCGTTTACGCATGGGGAATGAATTAAATCGAAGGATCTAATTTGTATGGTTCGTGTGAGATATGTGCGGGGCTCGTCGAAGAGCGATCGGCAGTCTTCGTATGTTTTTTTAGTGTAAAGAGTATCAACTTAGGTAAAGGTGATAATTTTTAGAAATATTTAAGCACGAGTAATTAAAGAGTAACGCAAAGGGTTCGTTCAAGTAGGACACCTAATCCAACTAATATATAGGAAGAGATATGTTTCGGAACTTTCTCAAGTAAAATTCTAAATCCTCCCGGAAGGATGTCAGTCGTAACTAGGTTAATGAGTTTGATGTTTCGAAGAGGTAAATCAAACTCGAATGGCCAGAAGCTGGAAAGCTCATAGCTGCTAATAGTTTCCTGGAATTGCGACATTTTGAACAAATTTTGATATTTCTCGATACCCAACGTTACTTTTAAATCTTTTCGTAACTCCTCACCCAATATGTGAACTCCCATTTTTAAAAGGCAAAGCTATCATTTCCTTCCGAATTACCTTCCTACTGAATTTTCATTTCAAATTACGGGAAGAGAATCAAATACCACTGTTCATTTCTGAAACGATCTCTAATCTCGATCTAGCAAAACAAGAAGTGTTCATAACGAAAATGCAGACATCAGTAGTCGCGATAGCTAGAGATCACGAGTTCGGTTATCATTCGTTACTATACGCCCCACATCCGTCTGGTATGACTCTGGTCCGACTTCTGACTAGTCTCTAAATTGAAAAAAATCTTGATCGGTTGTATTTTGTCAAAAAAGATGCGACTGGTGTTGTTGAAGGCTATGTTTTAGACCTTTGCACAATTGTATTATGATAAGGACTTTAAGAATATCCCGTCAAGTTTATAGAAGTACGGTGTTAATTGGTTCCATTGTTGCATCTTAATATGATTTTTGCTTGGAAAAATATGTACTTCATCATACTCTTCCACGTACGAATTCTTTACCGATAGTGAAAAGTGAAACACCGTTACTCGGGAATTCTGATCAACGAATCCCTGAATTCCATCCCAGGGCAATCTCTCCAGCTTCCCCCAGTATTCATGATCAATTATGGATTCCTTCCCCTTACGCGCGACGACACGTGGATATAATGCGATAAGGTAGAATATGGAAAAGATACGATATATAGGGAGATAAATAGAGAGATGAAGAATTAGAATCATCTCCTTTCATTTTTCATCCTTTCTTCCCCTTTGTGTTGTTGAATAGAACACTCTCTATTTTTATTATTTCCTTCACTTCCCAGCAGTTTTAAGAGCCTCGAAGTTCAATGCAAATAAATTTGAGCGAAACTAAATTTGACTTTATGATCTAAAACGCCCCACCATAATTCTCACTCCTACTTATCAGGATTAAACAGAACATCGACCGTATAAATTAAGATATAAAGATACAAAAATACAATTAAATTATGACACCATCATATATTAATCACCGCATAAGACCATTTCAACTGTAAGAAGCTTGTAAAATATTCGCGAAGTCGTCTAAAGTTCTTAATTCCCTTTAAAAACCTTGTAGAGCGCAAAGGATTAATTGAATAATACACACTTAAACATCGACTCCGACCACCGTGTTACATCCACGTACCATTCGCGTGTTTAAACGCGCCCTAACGAAGTCCGCGACTTGACATCCCTGACTCGAGTTGAAACCTGACAAGAAAAATAAAATAAAAAAGACACGTTTCTCGTTCCACGCGAGACCAGGAAGTTTCCAAGCACCTCTCGTGTGTACTCGGTAGCCAAAGGGTTGAGATGAAACGAGACCACTTCAACGAGCGTCTCCGACGGACGAACACGAGCCAAGAATCGCGGTTTCCTCGTAGATCGTTAAACGCGTTATCCATTCGATCGGTTCTCCTCGATTTGCCTCGTTCGATTCTCATTTCCTTTCGCAGCGAGCGGAACACGCGGTACGCCGCTCCTAATCCACGAATTAGAACCGCTCCGTCACGGGGATCCATCGATCCGATCGATACGTCCACCGCGCCGCGATACCCTCGATCGTTCCACGCCGATTACAACGACTATTGGAACGGGGAACACGAACGAGATGTCCGGAGTAACTGATAACATCGGGACAGGCCGTGAATCGAAGATTCACTACGGTTAGTCGTTTTTTTTTTTTGTTAGAGTAGAAGCACTTTTTGAACCCAGTCTTGCGAAATCATTCGAAATTTGTATAATAGGCGAGATAATAGCAGAGCTTGCAACAAGGAAAGTTTCGTAAAGCCTGACGTGAATTATACAGTCTGAATAACTGAGGTAAAAGTACCAGCAACTAATTGAATATCTTAGGATTGAATAACTCGCGATACCCGTAACAATTTTTAACACTAAACCTATCGGCATTTCATTTGCACCTGCTTCTATCATGATCGATCAAGTGATTAGTCTTAAAGACACATTTTTCAATTGGATACAAAAATATTTCACATCATACCAAATTCAATAATCACGAAACAATTGTAAATGATTTATATATCGTATACAAGAACTACACAGAAAAATTAGTGTTAATATCGATGAACAATATCAAGAACACGTAATGAGTAACCTGTAACTCTGGGACTGTTTTCATCCCAAAGAACCAAACTGTCCCCTTAACACCAAATGAAACTGAAATGTACAGAATACACAAATTCGCGGTTTTCAGGGGGATCTCGAGGGACTAATTCCCTCGCCATTCAATAAAATTTCACGTATGCGTGTCTCCTGATCGATCCCCAAAGGCATTCGCGGCCGGGTTCCGGTGCAATTGACATTTTCCGTTCGCAGACTGACGGGAATGACCTTCGCGGTGTAACGAAGTGTGCCTAACACGCTCGGTTGGTTGAAATTTCAGCGATTCACGGTTCGATCATCCATCGCTTATACGTTCTTTAACACGTCGGGCATGCTATCAGCGTTCGCAGCGCGATCGTCTGAGTATGAAAGGTCGACTTTGGTCTTGCCAAATTTCAGCGTTCCGCTCGGAATGATCGAGCTTTAAACCGCCGCGGATCTATGCCACGATTTCCGTCATGCTATTTTATGCGAGAATACGAGCGACGGGGTACCTTGCGTGCTCGTTAAAACGTTCGTTTTCCAGAAATAAAAAGGAAACGATACCGTGATCCAGCGACCGCGGTTACCCGTAAATCGTCACGGGAAAAATCGATTCGCGATTTCTTTGGCGAGGACGCCATGAGAGAAATTTTTATTCTAGGTATGGAATGAAATGGGTGTAGTGAAGTTCATACCATTTCCATTTGCTTATTGAAGATTATTTTGTGACGTAATTGAAGTCTGAGTTTTTGTTTAATGAGTAACGAGTAGGCAGGTGCCCATCTCGAAGGTTTTATCTAGATAAGAATTCAGTGAGGCTCGTACGATGATAAGTTAACGATTCGATCAATTCCTATCATTTACGATGTTTGCACTAGGTTCGTGATCGACGCTATTCTCGGCGACGATCGCGTAGGGTTATGAAGATCGAGGGTTATCGAATCGACATTTAAAATAATTAATTGAAAATGAATGTAGGAAGGAAGTTATCTCTTTAGAGTAAAAAGTTGTGATTGGAAACAAACTAAGTGTTTCAAAATGATGATGATATTCATATACGAGTTTCAACCTATATAAATGATTATTAAATTGAGAAACGTGAAAAAACACATAACTTAAGATGACTAAAACAAAGACTTAATCCTTCAATTTATGTACCAAGAAACTCGTCTATGAATATTTCTCTACAAAGTCAATAAATAAATGAAATGCCTTGGTCTGTCACACTTCATAATTTTATTTGAAGATCGAAACAAGCACAAAATATCTTTGATTAATTACCTCCCTGTAGAACAATTTTAATCCATAATACAAATTTTAACCCATAAATTAAATTCTGCGTTCCAGAAAATACCGAGAGCCACCATTTTTCGTAACGAAAAGCGATCAAGTTTCAGCGTGACGACACTTTATCGCAATTTTTCCAAGATTCCAAGTGACGTAGCGCGTCGTAAAGAATTCTACTCGAGATCTAATGGGAGGTAGCGCGCTGGAAGAAAAGAATCCACGGCGGTCCACGCAAGTCGCTGATAAGATTGTCGTGCAACGGGAGAATCGTTATCAATTCGACTGTGTATGTGTAGGTTAAAAACACGAAATAAAGAGAGCGTGCCAAGAAGTATCTGACTCGAGTGAAATACACACGAGATCTCCCCAGGGGGTGGCTCTAGGAGGTATTTGAATTTTCTTGAAAGGAACCATTTGTTTAGCCCTGACACGATCGCGCTCGTTCATCTTGAAAAATTGCCCGCACTTCGGCAAAATCCAGAGGAAAATCTGCGTAACACCGTTCCCGAGATCCCAGTGAACCTTTTCATTTGTTCGTCAAAATTACTCGGCGCTGGATTCATCACAGACACTGCTATCGTGTGCTCCGTCTCTTTTAAACGATAATTCCTCGACTAAAAAATCTAAACCTGCGTGTACCTCTCGATATCGAGCCAGGGCTGGATCAAAATCTTGCGAAAACCTGAGCTGCTCTCTAATAATATCTTCAACAGGTCGAAGAAATATGAATGTAATTGAAATCGAATATTTTCTGTTTTAGTATCTTACTCGTAATATTAATTTATAGATTTATCATGAAAGCTAATTTTATAGTTAAACACAACTAAATCAACAATGTCACTTCTATTTTAGGAAATGAGTCAATTCAATATTAAGAACATTTTCTAACATTTTTATATTCCTGTCGATTTTCATTCTCTGTGTACTAAAATTCAATACAACAATTCAAAAAAATAAAGAAGCGTCAAATTCAGGCAATCCTACCGTACTCCTACGATTCAGATATCAGAGCCAGATTGCCTCCGAATATCTTCTGAGAAATTCTAAGCAGCTTCTAGACACCTCAGCATTTATCCAGCCCTGCATCGAGCCAATGAAACGTACCACGATAATCAGAGTCGCGATAAACTATAAACGACAACGTTTGACAAATGTCTCGTCCACTTCTCACCGAAGACGAGGACTCGTCCGTTCTAAAAATCCTCGCGTTCGTCCGTCGCCTCGTCGCCGACGGCAGCCTCGCTCAGCTCGTTTCCTCGCATGGTGTATCGACGGACGTCTCGAACGTTGTTTTCTTCGAAAACTTTACGCTGTATCTTTGCACTTAAATGCTGGTATTGATCATACGATTCGGGACGTCTAGCGATTTCCAGCCGAGAAGCTGCGATACGTCGAACGAGCTACTGCGCGGCTAGAGACGCGATACGTCTACCTTTTCACGGTGAATACACGATACACGATACAATTTTTTCGCTCCACGCGTGTAGGATGAAACAGACCTGGGCACTTCCATAAGCACGTCGCTTGAAATAATATTATTTTAAAAGAGATTTCGATGCGTTTCACTTTTGAAACACGATAACGTTAAGCTCTTTAACTTCATTCGCTAAAGTGCTTTGGAAACGATAATATTCTATTCCAATTGAGGAAATGCGTTCTTAGAAATAACAAATGCGCTCTGGAAATGTTCTCAAAGTTAATAGATGTAATTACAAATCTCTCTGGGTAGTCAAAACCATGATACTATAATGGTTCGAGGAAAACAAGAAATTAGTACAACAGATATAATTCACTGGTATTTTGCATATGCATGATTCGCTCAAGGAAAACAGGAAATTAGTATAACAAATATACGATCTCTGAAATTTTGCATATGCATGATCCAATCATGGATATTTGTAATTTCAAATTCGCAATATGGTAATGTTTGATGGGGATTACAAATATGTGGGTTACATGGCTAAAACTAAGCTGGAGATGTTATAGAGTTCGTTAAAAAATTATTTCTTTCGAGAAATTATTAATTCGTTGCCTAAATAGCGACAGTGTTATTTCGACTAACGAAATAACTTCGCTGTTTCGAATCTCTATTATTTCAAATAAATCGGTGTTGCGGTTATTTCCGTGGAACTTTGCGATGAATAAAGGAGTGTAATATTATTTCAAATAGTTACGTCGTATTTTCGTTTCAAACCAAATTCGCCCAGGTCTGACACACGAAATTCTACGCGCGACACGATAACGTCAAAAGCGAATGTCCCTGTGATGTGATTGCATCAGGGTATTGCGAACGCAACTAGTGATGGGACTGATCCACTGACACACTCATTAATACAAATCAATTCCTAAGCATCATGTTCCTCGAGGTCTCAACAAGACACTGTACTGAACTACATTGCCTCTGAGCAATGTTCGCAAGGAATACACATCCAACGCGAGGATACTCCATCTTTTCCTCTGTGAATTGAATTTTCATCATAGTAATCCTATTAGTCACGAGTGTATGCGGTTTAGATCACTGAATCTGATTTCCACTTAGGGCCATTCTCTTTAGTTCGACAGTAGAGCTATTCCTTTGGAAGCGTATTGGGTCAGACCTTACAGTCTGACGCTGGTGGTCCTGTTCGTCTTAAAACGAGACTCTTCGTGAAAAATGGTCTACTGTTGAAATTGAGCATATGGAATACCTCCAAATCAATATTTATCTAAGATCATCGTTCAAACATGTTTAGATTCGTTCAGTGTATTTCCACGAGTTTTCATTTTTTAAATCGATACTATAACTTTGTATTTTGTTCCTAGTTTAAATTCAAACTAGAATCATGATTCATAATTATGTTTGATATTCAACCTGATTATCCCCATCAACTTCGAATGAATTTTGTATACAATTAAACAAGTCCGTACCGACAACAGGTGTCTCGATCGTTCGAAGATTCTCGGAGCCTTTCGAAATTTCATTCCTCGGAACGCCTCCGAATAAAAGCGTATCAATCTCGATCCCAGACGTATCGGGAGTACGGAAACGCGTCCCAGTCCCATCACTATAGTGCACGTACTTACATCGCCGGTTTGTGTACGCGACACGCAGACCAGTTGCGCTTTTAAGAGTCTACCAAAGAATCGTTTGGAGAGGTTGTCGACATACGCGGTCGCTCGGATCGGCCGACATGCGTTTAACACCGCGCTGGCTTGTACGTACACACAATTTACGTTTACACAATACGTACACACAATGCTCGTTCCTGTACAACACATTCAACCTGTCCGACATCAAGCTCAACCACGAACAGGCGACCAACGTTGTTTGAAGCTGAATCTTGAATTCGTCTTCCCCTCCTTCCCGGCACGACCGGTTGATGGGATTTACGAGGATGAACGTCGAAAGAGAAGCGTTGGGTGGACACCCCAGTCGATCCCAGACACTTCCGTCTGTTTTAGAGCCGCAGGAAGAGTCGGGCTATCGATTCGCTCTACTTGGTCTCGTTAATGTTTTCTACAGATTCCTCGCTAGTGACAAATTGGGGAGAACACCTCGGAAGGCTCCAGTTTTCTTCTACGCCAGAGAAAGATTTCTTCGAAACGTCGCAACAGATCTTCCGGTTATTATATCGTCGAGTCTTTGATCCTCGATACTGAAGTTGAGATCGCGTTTTCGAGACGATGGTTCTTTTGATTTATAAGGGAATAATAGAGTGTCCAGCGAGTGAACGGTCAAACGCGAACGGCGACCAGTGGCACCAGGTGTCTTGGCAGAAAAGGACCCAATCGCTTGGGTTTTTCGACCCGATACGAAATAAGGTTTCAAACATAACTTGAATGGTTCGCGTAAAGATAGAATATTCCATTTTTTTCACGTCGCAAGTAGATTACCGTAAACTGACTTTGAACTTCGTAAAAGTAACGAAACTCTAGATCAGAGTATTATACGAGCTTGTTACTAGTTTCAGTTTACTTTCAATCAAATTGGATGTTCAAGGTTCTTACCCGCGGCGACAATGCAGTGCGAGCTCTAATTATCCTAGCTATCTTCCGCATAGATCCTCAATGGTATGCGTCTTTCTCTACTTTCCCTCTAGCTTTCAGTATCGTTTATCAGCACACTGATAGATTACCTTAGTAATCTGTTGGTAAGCAGACCATGCACGCATCTGCAATACGTTGAATAAACATGATTGTGTACATTCGCAAATCGCTCCCTGTCGTCACTGAAACCTAGAGGCCCTACACACGGTCGAATACATATTAATATCTGCAACGCACAGAAAAAAAGAAAGTAGATGTATCGTATAAAAAGGTATCAGTGATTTTGAATTTTTGAAAGATATTCTTTCGTTATCTCATATTCTTCCTTTGAAACTACTCAAATTATGTTTGAAGTAGAGAAAATAATTAGATGTACCGTTCCTAGTAGGACACCCTGTACATTTGAATTCGAAAAAGTGGTCTTTCTTTCAAACTGCCTCCGAACCCCAATGATCCAATATCCCTCTAACTCTTCCCATTGTCCAATCTCCTTTGTTCCCAAATGCTACCATCGTAGCATTCCGTTTCACAGAACAATAAAATTCTCGCACTCTCGCCAAACATCGAGCGTTAAAACGAAGCTCTTTTTTTTTTTAAGAAAAAACAAAAACGATTCGACGATTCGATCTCGCTCTCCTCGTCGTCTTCGAAGTTTCCTCCGTCTTTTGGTCTATGAGCCACAGCCAATTACCGTTTCGTCCCGCAGTTTTAAGTTAAACGAACTCGGCTTTGATACATCTTTCCAACTACGTCGACCGACGTTCAACTCCCCCGCTGAACTATACATGCACGATACGGGTCTGGTAATTTCAACAAAGCCTTCATCCAGAAGAGAGGAACTTCGTTCCAACTACGACGACGTTGCGTCTCCGTCGACGATATTCTTCACGCGGAAGAAACGATCAAAGAATACTTTAAAAGAGGAATGCGTGACATTGTCGCTCTAGCAGCTCGATGAGTTTTAATATTACATACACGACGTCCATGTAACGACGAAAAGTTCATCTACTCTTTAGTCTACCGGATGCGTAAACGGTCCGGAAAGGAAAATCTTCGGGAAGCCAACATCTCGCGTCGACGTCGTCGTCGTTGACGACGGACAATCCAAAAGAATTCCAAGCTCGGCGCTGGATGATATTCGTCGTCGATTCCGTCTGCTCCGGACAATCCCGACTCCCTTCAGCTAATTCAGACCAAGGAAGAACAAGAAAACGCTATTTACTCGCGAACAAAGACGAACTCGTTGTAATGGTTCCAACGATTCTCCTCGGAGTCCATGCCTGGTTTCAGCTGCTCCGAATTGCTGCCAGCGGTGCCGGAACCGCAGCTACCGGCCAACTTGAATCCTTGCTCCTGTAGCATGTCGAACGCCTGCTCGATAGAGCTGTGCTTCAGGAAGAATCTCGAGGTGTAACGATCCGAGGTACCGTGATCGGGATCGCGACTCTCGTTCAACGTCTCCCCGAAGACGTCCCTGCAGAGAGTCACGCGACCGCACACGAGGATCCTGGACAGCTTGCGAAACTTAACATCGGGCAGACCCTCGCGACCGAACGCGAAGCTGCCGCGATAACCGACGGTGATGTAACCGGGTGCCCTCTTCCCTGAAGAGCTCAGGGACCCGGACGACTTGCCGTTCTCCAACACAGCGCGCTCCAATCCAGGCAATCCGTAGAAATTCGCCTCCTGCTTCAACCGTTCCCTCTCTCGGAAGCCCTCCGGCAGGACTAGCGCCTGATTGCGCAGGAAATCGAGAACGTAGCGGAAGAGTACCCCGTCCCGGTCCAGAAAGTACTTCCCCTTAGCGTCCTTCTCTACCGGCGTTTTCCCCGAAAACAACGCGGCCAGATGAGAGTCCGCCTCGCGGGTGAGGGTGGTCAGAGCGGTGGTATAAAATACACCGCCCACGTTCAACTCCACCACGCTTGGCACGGCTTCCTGTTGCTGGTCCGACTGCTGTTGATCCACCATGCTTCTGACGCTTCTCGTTAGACTCGTTTCGCGAAGTCGCGCGACGCGACTCGAGTCAGCTCTTGGTCACCGTGTGCACGCGAATCGACGAGGTTTCTCGTGACTGGGGGGACACTCGCCGGGTGGACGATCGACGAGAAGGGAAAAAAGGGGGGAAACAATAGTCTCAGTGTTTACGGTTGTCCGTGCGACGATACCGACTGCACCCCCGCAAAGTTAACACTTCGTGGACACCGTGCACAGCACCGCGAGGGTCGCGTGAACAGCGAGAACGGGGACGTCGGATCGGTGACCGAGGACAGCTGAGGGTGGACACACTCCAAGATAGCTCCGACCCCGAAAGCGTGCTCTCGCGGGTCTAGGAACGGGAAAGACTGACGAGAGACTGCGCCTACGGTCGGTCGAGGAAGGCCGAGCTTAGCTCGGCTCCGTCGCTGCGCTTCCTCTCCTAGGCACTTCGCGCGCGCGGCAGGACGCACCACTCGTGTGTGTTGCGAGGTCCCGATACGCTCGCGCAGAAGGTCCATCGTGAACGCGCGCCGATCCTCCGTAGCGAGAAGAAACGCGCGCACCCACCCCCTTTGGTCATTCGATCACCGCACGCGGAGGGTCGTTCCGCGTGCTGTCGCCCACGAAATTCCCACTTTTGTGTCTCGTTAACCGATCACAGTTGAATCCCATCGGCTGATCTCTTTGACACCACGCCTCGCTGCCTACGTATCGAATTCTACGCGACCGGTTGTGCGAAAGAAAAGGAGGGAGCGTTCCGATTAGCTTTGAGTGTTGCGTGCAGTTCCACTCCTTGCGCGGATGTGCTTTGTTTTCGTGACCTTTGATAAATTGATAGCACCGCTTTTACCACTGACCTTTCTATCTCTTGTGTCCGCGTATTTGTCCGTTACTCACCCTCGGTTCTTGTGTAAAGGGAATTGTAATTATGTGTTTTGTCGCGCGGATACGTTACCTGCGATTAGGCGAATGTATAGGCATCCGCGATAACTGCTAGTCCCGTTAAGATTGCCTCGGACACGGAGTGGTAGTTTGGGTGGAAATCGGTCTCTTCGTGTATCGCTTCGCTGGTAAACGTTTCTCGACCTTGAGAAGATTCAGAATAAATATTGTTTCACTTCCGGTTTTGTGTATGATGCAAGCCCACGCATTTGAAACTATAATTAGAGAAATGACGTCAGGTATTTGCGAAGAAACATTTTATCTGATCATCTGACACAGTGGTTCTTAATCGCCGTACCGCGAGATACTGTAACGTGCCGTGAAGGCTATACCGTGATATGAATCTTACGTGTAGGGGTGCTTTAAGAATATTAACACTGTTTTAGAGGAACAGTACATTGTGTTGGCAAATATATTTTGTCTTCAAAAAGACTCAGCTTGCTCTTTGTTCCACCCTTGGAATCCAAAAATACGTTTCTTTCTGTATTGTTACACATCCTTCTGGCTTCATAGCATTAAAACATGGCTTTACCATTTAGTGAACTATGGAAACAACCTGTGGAAAATTTCAAAAATGTGTTGACAATAATGAAGAAAACGGACAGTGACTCTTTGAAAACAAAATACATTTATTAGTATGATATATTGTATTACCAATTTTGTTTCTGTAACGATATTACTTTCATATAAGTGTTAACACTGTTTTGAAACAGCCTGTACCTACAAGGGAGAAGTAACACAATTTAGGAAATGATTCTTGAAACTAAATTTATAATATTATCTATGCAAACATTCTAGATTTTTATTAAAGAAACATGTATTCTGCAATAGCAAGGAAAACCTTGTCTATATTTATCCAATTTGTTACATCATACATGTGAGAATTAAGATTTTTACCTCTTACTAATATCAGAAGTTCCAATATTGAATAACTCACAAGAAGACATCAAACTCAACTATCTTCAAACTATTACAACGATTCAAATGTTAAAGTAGCCTGATTAAACTTTTATTTTCTATTTTCATCTCTCCTAAAATTATCGCTACAATCATACATTAACCGCCATTTTGGAAATGGATCTCTCTCTAAAACTCTAAACTATCCCATTAACTTAGAAAGGTTAAGAACCACTGACCCTAACAATTGACATTCTCCCCACCATTCGTTGTTATTCCCTGATCAGTTGGTTCCACGAACAACCAAAGTGGCGCACTGATCAGTCAAGCTTCGTACGTGAATTGGATGGTCTGCGATGGCCGCTGCTAACACCGTGAAATCATTTCAATCGCTTTTCTTTGCGTACTACGATTTACAATTCAGTACGTTACGAACGCTGCTTTCGTTCGGTACAGTGCACAATAACGCGACAAAAACCGATGTCACTTAATAATCTTTCTCGTGTTACTACGCAGATCAACGCATGTGAACAACTCGGCCTTTCATCGTCCGTCGGGAACTGGGACGGCAATTCCGCGGGTTAATTACCATCGATTGAAAATTGGGGTTCGTTCGAGTGTCGTTTCAAACACCAATTCGTACGAAATGTCCGAGCCACAAAAAAGAAATTTCGGCGAGGAAACCAGGGGCAATATTCTCGGGCATCATTCGTGGAGCAATGGTCCTGACAGCGAGGATGAGCTAACTGGCGAAAATGGACTGCTTAACGAGAACGAGACCGGACCAAGGTTCGTAAGCTAATCTCTAACTATTCGTAAATTCGTGTTTAATTAGGTTACTCGATAAAAGCACAGCTGTTGTTTTATGCTCTATCTTTAATCGATGACGGACGTGTATACGATCTTTGTATCGCTGTTTTCTTTGTTCGACGATGCACTCGTTCACAATAGAATGTTGTACTCGATATTGTGAACACCGATTGTAATTGTTGGAGCATCGATTCTTAAAATAAAACTAATTGTAGATGAGAAAAGAGCATTAGAAACATTTGATTTTCACCATATGTAACTTTATTATCTCGTATTAGTATGAGAGATAGTATAGAAGGGAATCCCAAACATAACAGTTACTGATTAAAATAAAAGCATTTATTTAAATAGAATAAAATTGTATTTTCTTTTGTTTTTAGCCATTACAGACCAACTTTAACAGAGCAGACTATGCGTAATATGACGTTTGCAGAGGAAAAAATGCGTAGAAAGCTAAAATTCTTCTTCATGAACCCGATTGAAAAATGGGAAGCAAAACGTCGTTTACCATACAAATTTGCTGTACAAGTCATTAAAATCATATTAGTCACTCTTCAACTATGCCTATTCGCACATAACAATTACATGCATGTAAACTATTCTTGGGATAATCGATTATCATTCTCACACCTATTTCTCAAAGGATGGGATAGCATTCAAGAGGTGAGATATCATTAAACAATAAATTATTTTAAAAACTATCCATATAATAATTGGTGTTGAACTGCAATGGTTGGTATATATATTACTTATTCGATTATTTTTATCTTCAGGTACCAGCTTATCCACCAGCAGCAGGCCCCTTGGCAGTTTACAAACAAGACCAATTCTACAGTACAATTGATTATGCTTTAGATGGTTACTATAACGTTAATAATGCGATTGGATCTTATTCGTACGTTACAGAAGACAACTCGGTAGTTCCAGTTGTCCTATGTTTATATCAATACAAAACAGCTATTATATTCGGTTTCAATGAAAGTTATGTTTTCGATAAAGAAATCGTAGAAAGGTGCATAAATATAACCCATGAGTTCTACAATGAATACGGCACATCAAAGAACTTATTGACCAAACAAGAAATCAATGTAAATTTCTCGGCTCTTGTTAGGGCAAGTTTAAAATTTTCTCTGAAAACAGTCAATTTAAAAGCTGCCGGACCTATGACACCGCCGGATTGTTATAAATTTGATATTAATATTGGCTTTGATAATCGCGATTTTGATGGACAAATGTTGCTTTCGTTAGATGCCGAACCAAGGAGACTGCAATGTAAAGGGGATACACGTTACATTACAAATAATCGTATCGAATCAACCTTGAGGACGTTACTAAATTTATTAGTAATTTTTATTTGTTCGTTGTCTCTTGGTTTATGCTCCAGATCTATATACCGCGCACAACTGTTGAAATTCGAAACCATGAATTTCTTCAAGAAATCATACGGCAAAGTATTGAGTATTGAAGGAAGGTTAGAGTTTTTAAACTTATGGTACATAATGATTATTGTCAACGATCTTCTAATTATGTTCGGCTCAGCCATGAAAGAACAAATCGAACGAAAACAATTTGGCAGCGATCATTGGAATTTATGTAGCATATTCCTTGGAACAGGAAACTTGCTCGTTTGGTTCGGGGTATTGCGATACCTCGGCTTTTTTAAAACTTACAACGTTGTTATTTTAACGTTGAAAAAAGCTGCCCCGGAAGTCGCACGATTTTTAATATGTGCAATTCTTATTTATCTCGGTTTCACGTTTTGTGGCTGGTTGATCCTAGGCCCATATCATATAAAATTCCGATCGCTGTCCACGACCTCAGAGTGCTTATTCGCTCTTATAAACGGCGACGAATTGTTCGCAACATTTTCTATAACGTCTTTCAAATCGCCAATGTTGTGGTGGTACTTTAGAATATATTTGTACACGTTCATTTCGTTGTATATTTACGTCATTTTAAGTTTATTCATTTCTGTGATAATAGATGCTTACGACACAATTAAGATTTATTATCGTGAAGGTTTTCCGAAAAACGATTTGCAAACTTTCATAGCTGCGTGCACAGATGATGCATCGAGCAGTCTGTATAGAGCAGACGATTCTGACAGAAGCGATTTGACGGAGCTCCTCGATCGCTTCTGTTGTTGTCGGAAAAGGGCCTTTTACGGCTCATTCTCAGGATCAGAATTCACAACAAAAACCGAGCAAACGTGCGAGGGAGCAATCTGTGTATAGTACACTTATAGACAATAATATATTAGATAAAAATTATGGCTCCACGGCAGAGACGATGTATTATAACGACAATTTTGTCGTGTAAAGTATTTTTTACGAAATTATTGTATTGCATTTGTTTAACAGCTGTGGCTGTGTCTTGTATCTGCCAATTTTATGTCTTGCGATTGTCGGAGGTCTAAATGTCGGCAACGATAGACTTATATTACGCGTACGCAAGAATTCTACTCATAATTTTATATGATGCGCATTGTATATGTACATAGCATCTCGACGATATGTAAAGTTTAAAAACATGAAACGCGTTTTAATTAAAGCGAACGAACACATTGAAAGGGAATGTGTTATCCAAAGAAATATATTTACAATGAAGTACAATAAAATTGTAATTTTTCTAACCAATATTTCATAATTTCCCCCTTTGAATGTTTCTCCTACTTTGCTAGTATTAAATAATAAATAAATCATTATTATCGACAAGCTCTTGATTTTAAACGAATCATATTATACATATACAGGGTGTCCCAAAAGTCGGGGAGGAGCCGGAAATGGGGG